GAGAAGAAATTATGATATACTTGTATCAAAATTGCGGCAACGATTTGGATGTACCAGACAACAGAGTAGATGGCTCTCAAGGTTTGAATCCAGAAAACGTTTGCCATGTGAATCAATTGCCATGCTAGGAGATGAATTGAGACAACTTTCCCAAAAAGCTTATACCAACCTTGACCCCCGTGCCCAAGAAGCTCTTGCCCTAAACCAACTGTACAAATCAGTGTCACTTGAAATGAAATGTAGATGTATTGACAAAGAATGTGCTACCATATCTGATGCAGTCCAAGTAGTAGAAAGATATGAGGCTATTTTAGGAGAACCACCAGTTACAGAGAAGAAGAAAACAGCTGTAAGACAAATTTCTACAGATGATGACCAAGACTACAGTTTTGACCAGCTGAATGCCAGAGTAGCAAAGCTTGAACAGACAAGTTATAATACCCCGACAGCTACCACCCAGACCATGTATAAAGCAAATGTACCATCCGAAGGGAAGTTTGAACGTAAATGTTTTATATGTGAATCACCCAGGCGTATAATCAAAGACTGTCCAATGCTGAAGAAAGTGATGAGCTATGCAACCAACCAATCAAGACCATACTATGGATCCAATAACACTGGAAAGCAGCAGGAAAACTACAAACCGTCAATGTAGAGGGCCCCTATTTGACGGATGACTCATCTAATGGGCCTAGAAAAGAAAATTATGGATTTAGTGATAATTGTAATAAAAGAATTGGGCAATCGGGGAAAACTTGTGGGAAATTTGATAACGGATTTTATGCCGTTGGGGAGATTTGTGGACTTCATGTTGAATTTTTAGTAGCTCTACTACTACACTGTTAGCTTGTAAAATGTTTGACCAAATTTTAGAAAGAAACAAGCCCAATTTAGAACCTTCAAGATTAAATATAAAGGATGTAAATGGAAATACAATTACAGCTTATGGTCAGAGCATAATGAACCTCAATTTTAATGGTAAACTATTTCCCCAAACTATCATAGTGTGTGATATCAGTCCAGATGCTATTATTGGACAAGACTTCCTGTTACATTATGTCAACAAAATTGATTATCAGCGTATGGTGTTACAGACCAGTTTGACATGTTGGGTTGCTGGAGAAACTCAGATGGTGTGCCGTGTAGAAGTCAAAGAAGAAATTACCATACCTGCAAATTCAAGAATGTTTATACCTGTGGATATCCCTTCTGTGAAAAATTGAGTAAGAGCTGTATGATTGAACCATCTGTACGACTGTTTGACGAGAAAAATATAGCCATTTTGCCTGCCATACTACAAAATTCTGATGAAAACAAAGTTGTTAGTCTGCATAATTTTAATGATACTGATATATAGATATATCCAAAAAATGAAGTTAGGAGATTGTGAATCATATTATGAGAAGAACAGTATTGCTGTTTGTTGTACAAAGTTTTTTTTTAGATGAAAATCCAGAAGAATCTAATTTACCAGAATATTTGAAAGAGTTATGGGAAAGAAGTTGCATTCATTTGAATAAAAACGAAAGTATAGATTTCGCCAATCTACTTAAAAGATACAAAAATGTATTCTCAAAGTCTTCAGACGACATAGGAAGGACCTATTTAATCCAACATGAAATAAATACTGGAAATGCAGTACCAATTAGACAGCCACCAAAAAGATGAGATCCAGAGAATGTTGAAGTTAGGAGTAATAGAACCCTCTACCAGTAGCTGGTCTTCACCTGTTGTTTTAATTGCCAAGAAAGGAGGCCAAGGCGGGACTCGTTTTTGTGTTGATTTTCGTGGCGTAAACGGACTAATGACGGAAAAAATAGCCAACCCAATTCCAAGAATAGATGACTACCTTTATGCTCTTTTTACAGCCAGTTTCTACGGATGTATGGACTTAAATAGTGGATTATGGTAGCTGGAGATGAAAGAATCTGAAAAAGAAAAGACAGCCTTTGCAACTAGCCAAGGATTATACTAATTTATGATAATGCCATTTGGGTTAGCCAATGCCCCCAACAGTTTTCAGAGATTAATGGAGAGTGTATTACGTGGGTTACAGTTGGAGGAATGTTTATTATATCTAGATGATATTATTGTCCCTGCCTCTACAGTACAAGAATCAATCGAAAGACTTGAGCATGTGTTCTAAAGATTATTAGACTCAGGATTGAAATTGGGACCCTCAAAATGTATATTTTTTCAGAAAAAAGTCAAATTTTTAGGTCACATTGTCTCTGAAAACGGTATTCAAACAGATCCAGAGAAAACAGAAGCTGTAAAAAAATGGCCCAAGCCCAAGAACCAGAAACAGATGCGCAGTTTCCTAGGACTATGTTCCTACTACAGAAGATTTGTCCCCAAATTTGCTGAAATAGGCAGACCCTTACATAAACTTTGTGAAAAATATGCTGCTTTCAACTGGACAGATAACTGTGAAGAACCTTACACTAGGCTTAAAGAAGTTTTAACTTCACCCCCAATCCTAGGATATCATATAATTGGATCTAAATTTATCCTTGATACTGATGCTAGTGATAAAGCATTGGGAGCAGTACTTTTCCAAGAGCAAGACGGACAAGAAAGAGTTATTGCGTACATGAGCAAAGCCATGATCAAACCTGAGCAGAGCTACTGTGTGACTCGCAAAGAATTATTGGCTATTGTTTGTGCTCTTCGCCACTTCCATTCCTATCTCTATGGACAACCCATTTTAATAAGGACTGATAATTCTGCTGTCAGCTGGATGTGGAACTTAAAGGCACCAACTGACCAAGTTGCAAGGTGGCTACAAGAACTTGGAACTTATGATCTTACAGTTGTACACCGGCCTGGACTAAAAAATAGGAATGCAGATGCACTTTCCAGAAATCTTTGTGCTTCATGTTCCAGACAAGAGAATGTTAACAACGCCCACGACAGTTGTGATGAAGACTCTGAAGAAAAAGAACATTTATCAGTTAGAACACGTAGTAAAAAAAATATCAGTCCAACAAGGAACCAGTTTGTACTTTTAGGGTGGGATGTCAATACTTTAAGACATCAGCAGTTACAAGACAAAATTATTGGTGATGTTATTCATAAAATTTGAAGACAAAGAGACAAAACCGGAATGGAATTCATTATCTGAGGAATCAACATACTTAAAAACCTTATGGAACATGTGGGACAGATTTGAAATTTACAATGGAGTATTATATATAAATTTGATTGATAATTTGGAACAAACTCACTTGAGACTTATAGTACCTGAGTCTTACAAAGATACTGTTTTAAAATATAACCATGATATATCCTCTGCTGGACACCTAGGTGAAGAGAAAACCGTGGAGAATTTTAAACAGCACTTTTACTGGCCCAGAATGAAAGTCTGCATTCAAGATTATATCAGAAAGTGTGATAGTTGTGCCTCAAGAAAACCAGTGTTGAAACAAAGTTCTAAAGCTCCACTAGGAAATTATAATGTTGGTGCCCCAATGGAAAGAATTGCAATTGACATCTTGGGACCCTTGCCAAAGACACGACTAGGTAACATATTTTGTCTGGTTTTGACAGACAGTTTCTCTAAATGGACAGATGCTTACGGAATTCCAGACCAAGAAGCAGCGACAGTGGCTAAGATATTTGTTAATGAATTTGTTTGTAAATTTGGTAACCCCTTGCAGATCCATATAGACCAAGGAGCAAATTTTAAATCCAAAATTTTCAAGGAAATGTGTGATTTGTTATGTATTGACAAAACCAGATCAACTTCTTTTCATCCACAGTCTAATGGCTGTGTTGAAAGGTTTAACCGTACTTTAACGAATATGTAAAGTATGTTCTATGCAAAAGACCAAGCTGTTTGGGATGAATATTTGCCTCAAGTTTTACTTGCCTACAGATCATCAGTTCATTCAAGCACTGGATTTACACCAAATTTCCTAACCTTTGGAAGGGAAGTAACTCTTCCATTACAAGCTGTAATTTCAATGCCTTCCCCAGCCCAAGATTAAACTACATGTAAAGAAGACTTTGTTATAGACCTGCAAAATAGATTACAAACAGTTCATGAATTAGCCCGCAAGAATTTGAAAAATAAGTCCAGTATCAAAAGAAGTATTATGATGTAAAATCAAGAAAAGGATGCTTACAGTGGGACAACGAGTGTGGCTGAATGACCTAACCCGGAAAATTGGTGTATGTTCTAAACTAAGTGCTAAGTTGAAAGGACCATACATTAATATTAGATGTATGGATGACACTACCTATATTGTAAAAAAGACTGCTAAGCAGATGACAAAGGCCTACCATGTAAATAGACTAATGCCATATGAGGGACAAAAGCTGCCTGTGTGGATGAAGAAAATACAACAGATCAAATGAGTTAGTGAATTATTTTTATGAAATGAAGATGTATATTGTGAATATTTGACTTATGTGATATGATAAATAAATTGTTGAATTTATTTTATTGTTACTCATAAGTTGGTGCCTTGTAAATTATATGCCTATGATGAGGTGTAAAAAGGAAGTTAGACCAACCAGGTGTGGACGTATTTCAGTTTTTATTTTGGTTCATCAATGGACGCATTGATGTTTTGATATATAACATGTGTGTTATTTTAACAATCTTGGTAATGAACGCATTGTCGAGAGGCGGATACGTCAACTGGAAAGGGCTACAAGGGACTGGACTGGCCATCCATGAAATTGGTAGTCGCTCTGTGGTTTCACAGTGGTGAGCCACGTCCTTTGCGGGCAAAGGACTTGTACTGATACGTCAACTGGATTTGGTATTGGAAATTATAAAATGTGTCAAGGCTGTTATAACCATGTATAAAATAATTCACTTGCATGTTAAGAACTAAGATGATGTGGTTAGTGTCCTGTCAAGACTGGGGATTCCAACTATTTACCAAATAATTCAATATATTAGTGTTCATGTGCTGAGTACTATCATAATATAATATAAAGATGTTACATAATATATATATTTACTGTAATAAAAAACACAACAAAGAAAACCAAGTCAAGATGTTTTACTTCAACAAAGACATTCATTTGATTAGATAAAATTAGTTAATGTGCATATATCGTCCATACGCAAACTGTCCATGTACTATATATTATGGTCACCTGTCCAGAGTAACAAGTTTTCTGTGCATCTCTAAAGTGTTTCAAGGATACGAGACTGGAGTAACCTGACCTTTCAGCTACAGCACCATTCAAATAATCTTCATACCTACAAAACAAATTAAAAGAACAATGTTGAATATAATTCTAATAATTATCTATATACAAGTTATACAATATATATATATATCAAATGTGACCGCACACTTACAGAGATGTTCTATTTCCAGATGGGAAAAGAATGCTGGATATGTCCGGAAAAGTTTGACACCACCAAACAGCTGAAATCACATTTAGCAAGTAGCATACATTATAAGATGGAAGTGGTGTGTCCCTTTTGTCTGGACAGGCCAACTAAGTATAAAAGAGTCTGGGAGTTGAAGGACCATTGTAATCGGTTCCACAAAGAATCCATGCAAGACATGAGACCGGACGTTCTTTCGGAAGGGAATGCTTACTACCTTACTTTGCATCCGGCATGTTACAGGAAGGTAGTTAGTCCTACTGCCTTTTACTCACCATCAGCAAGAGACCTAAAAAAAGCCATGCAGGCATGGCTGAAGAAGTCAAAAGACACTTACAGGACGCCAGAAGAGTGGGAGCAGGGATGGAAGGAAGGAACAAAATTTTATGGGCCTCCCGGTGAGGAACTTTTCCAACCAGTATATTCAGGGGATGAGACACGGGCGGCCTCATCCTCTTCCATGGATATGGACATAACAAAACCTGATGCTTGGCGCATAACTTATGTGGCACTGGTGCCACAGAGTATCATGGTAGAAGCCGTTTTTGGAAGAGAAACCTATCGATTTGCCATTGCAGATACATTGCTGACAGATGTCAAATATGTATCTGCATTGACAAGGAGAATGCTAACCATACCGCAGGGAGGTTAAAAATCCGCTGGAAGGAAACACAAGTTGCTTGGGAAAACATACAGTGACTGAGTAACGCTGGCCGTGAAATAACTAGGACTTCCAGAAAAATACATTACCAACATTTATCGTTTAAAGAGTGATTTTTATACTTTACCATTAACAGAACTTTTTGCTCCTCCCACTAAAATTCAGAAATACCCAAAAAGAAAAGCAGTTTGAAACCAACTATTTCGGCCAAGACGTCTTCAAAAATTTCATTAACAGTCAGTAAGAAACCAGAAAAACCAATCATCAAATCATCTTCCAGCAACACACCATCCTCTGCACCAGTGATATTTGTACCATCAAGTCCAAAGACCTCTTCACCTAAACCATCAACAACACCTACAACGCCAGCCGTTACCTCAAGTTCCTTAGCACTATCTCCAATTTCTACCAGATGATTCTCACCAGCTATGCTCCCTGTATCTCCCCAGCAAAGAAGCCAAAGATTTCGACAAAGACCATACCATACACCCCCCAAAAACCCACTCAACCGGGACCGACGCATATATACCAACACCAAAACAGTGGCTGGCGACGATAACTGCAGAAGATGTACCTAGTGTAGAGCTCCGGACGCCTGCTGAGCGGGCAACCTTGCTGCTACGTCTTGGTGGAATGCCATTGTTCCCTCCAACACGGCGGGACTGGACTGGGGAGGTCCAGGTGAAACTTCCGGAAGATGTTCTCACCAAGGACTGGCCTCCTCAGGGCTGAAAGGACATGACCCCAGACACCAGGAAGTTAAACTGGGAATTTATTGCTTTCCAATATGAGCAGGTCTCCAATAATACAACTCTACCTAGTCGAGCAGGACTCCTAGACAAATATAATATGTTTTCCTTACCGGGAACGTCACCACATAATAAAACCATAGATCTTAGCAGAACCATTATGAAGAACAGATACTACATGTACGAGAATTTAAGATTAATTGCCACTGAAGGGATTAAGCCGGATCTTTCCACTACTTTCATGCTGGACATGCTGGAGAAAGCAAGCGCTAGTCGCGATAAAACCACAGACCATATTTGCGTTGGATAAGGCTGGCATTCCTTTAGGATTATACGCTTAAATTTGATTCATAAAATATTGCTGGACATTATATGAAAACACTATATCAATTATTTTAGCTTTAAACAAAAACAAATACCGTCCGTTACTGCAGATACAGAAGATGACAGATTATGAACACTTGCGTATATGAAATTATTAATGTGACAATGAGGGTGGATTTTACTTGATATTGAAATTTATTATGATATGATATGCATTTATGATATATATATATATATGTATAAGGATTTCTTGTACATCACAAATCAGGCATGCAGTAGCCTAGCATATGTGATACGAGTAAGATGATATCAGCTGGGTCTGATATCTTAAGTGAACTCAGGGCTTGGAGTAGGTATTCTTGCTATACATGTAACAATTTCAAGTCGAATGGACAGACAACACAAATGCCAATATCTTTCTTTATATAACAATGGCTGATTGTACTGTATGCATTGAGTTGTGTTGTACAAGAAATGAGTGTAATATTTATTGAATTCAGGAGAATTCCACCACTTTAAGATGGGGAGGGTGTAATGTGCACGGTGTACCCCCTGACATTTTTTTTAAATTATTGGAAATCCACATTTCCTTTTATTTTTCATGTTTTGCCAATTTAAAAGTTCTTGTTGATAATGTTTGGCTAAGGCCCTTTGTTATGTTAAGATATATGGTAATTTTGCTTGTTGCAAGCCAGGAAATAGTTTCAATGGAAATATTTCATTATTTGTTAACTTGTTCATGACATAAGTTCAAAGTTAATCATGTTTGTTGTTTTCTTTTCATAAATTTCACAGGGCTTTAAATCATATAAAAGTAAAGACCATAGAACTTCCACGTTTAACTGCTGCTTTATATTTTTGTAAATAATCATTACATGTTTAAAAAAAGAAGTACACAGAATTTTATTGATTCTCAGCTGATCGTAATCGATCACCAGTAAACAAAGTCACATGACCGTCTAGACGTCTAGGAATTCGTCTGCTATGTATTTTCTTTGAGATTTTAGTATTTTCTGCAAGATCAGTAAACGTGGAAACATAAATTTCAATTAACAATTTCCTATGTATTATGTATCTAAATGATATGAATGTGCCGCCCTTTGGGTTATTTCTCCACTAAGCCTGTTTACAATGTGATTACCCCAAACCATGTTTTGCTTGCCCGATTAAGATTTACATAATGTACGACGTTCTAACCTATAGTCCCGCTTTCCTTAAAGTCATAGCTAATAAAGCGCCATACTCGGGCTGTTAACTCTTAAGTAACTTATAATTCATGAAAGTTCAGGCAATTGCCCGGTTCAACTTGTCCCACCATTTTTGTTTTCATTGTTACGGTTGGCCAATACATGTCACGTGACATATAAATTTTATTATATAAGGAGCGCCGCTTTCATAATATGGCGAAATGCTGCCGTGGCGGGTAACTTCAAAATCCAAGCATACTAGAGATATAATTATTCGCAAGAAAATAGCAACACAGTAGAGGAATGAATATTTATTATAATTTGTATACCATTTTTAACTCAGCACATGAACGTACAGAATTTAAATGGGAAATAAGAATAAAAACCGGCTGTCAATTCCTACCTTGTTCAGTTGCCCCAGAGTGTTAACAATGTAATCATGCAGTTATTCCCCATCACATCGACCTTTTTAACCACAGATAATAAACAAGGGACCATTAATTAGGATTTCACTAAAGATAAACTGTTATTTCCGGCCTGACATAATTAGTTATATGGATGTGCCAATTGTTTGGTATTTGGATGTTCCAGTCCAAATTTAGATGTTCCATCACAATCTTAAATATAGATTTTTCCTACCCTAAATTATACATGCTTCATCACAAGGCTTAGTCAAGGGTGACATAGTTATAGAAACAATATAAGAAAAATATATTTCATTCCTGTATTTTACCATATTATTATATTTATGTGCTAATAAATATTTAGTCCTGTGGATTATGCATTATAGTTAGTGAAATATGAATGTCAAGTAAATGATAAATCAACTTACAACTTTCAAATGAGCAAAGACTGTTTTCCTGACTAGAAACGGATCCTTCTGTTTACTAATCATCTTAGTGCTGGTGCTCTAAAACTTCATTAGATTAGGATTATACGTTTTGGGCAGTTGTCCTGTGACTGGGCAGATATTTCTCTGTTACAGGCAGGCACAATTGGTCCATAATGGCTGACCATCCAGAGACATATATATATATATATATATACACGTTTAAAATTGGTTATTGCTGCAACCTTTACAGAGACTTACCCAAATGATATAATTATATTGAAGCCTACCCTAGGTCCCTTACAGTATTTCTAAGGAAAAAATCAAAATACAGTCTTGGTTCAACTATATAAAAAAAGCTTATCTTTGTCTATCTTAACAAAAGACAAAAAAAAAGCAACAACAAATGAAAGCAGTGATCTAATTCTATTCAAATGGAAAGATCAGTAAGGCATCACTCTCACTGTGTAATAGGTGGTCTCCGGTAGAATAGTGCAATATATTTTGAATATCGAAGCCGATATGAAAATCTATTCTAATAATATGAACGGTTCAAAGTTTACTGCACCGGATGTGCCTTTCGACAACTAATGTCTCTTTATTGATGATCGAGGCCAAAATATTTGAAAGTCCAAAACTTTATACAAACATGACAAACGCTGAAGACTTTCAATTCTAAGTTCCATTGTAGTGCAGTGCTGTATATCTTCAGATCTTTTTTTGAGGTGCAAATTTATACTGCTCTCTTAGGGCGTCCTTGATTGACAATAAAATATTGTATTGTATTGTATTGTATAATATCATAGAGTTAAGGTTCAAAAACGTTATATCTGTTTGATTTATATCAAATATCCCATTACATGATACGAAACAAAAACCAATGCAACCTTAGCATGGTGGACAATTTTCGTATCTCCCAACAATGTAATTGTTTTATTTTACCGAACTAATATTGGCATTCACTGGCGGTGAATACTGGGGACGGTACAATTTGCCGAGGTTATTCACCAGCACCTGCCGATTTAGACGAAAATATCAGAATTAAATCACAATGCGTGATCTTTTTTTCGGCCAATAGATTTATTCAATTATAATGTGAAGTAAGAAATATAATATTTACCGAAATGTAAAGAGACGGTAATATTTCAGTTTCAGAGTTATCTTATGATTGTAAATAGTATTTTGCGGCATCTTATGATTCACCGGATGATAAACATATATTATACTAATCGGATGTAAAAAGCGGATGAAGTCTAAATAATTATCATTATTCGATTTTGTATGTATCAATTATAACATATGAGTAAAAAAATACTATTTTAGGGCAACATTAACACAGACGGTAAACTGGAGTCTAAAAGTATAGGCAGATGGACTCCTATACGTTAATCCTAATGTGATTGGAGACTATTTGGCCGTGTGGGATGTAAAAATACGAAATCAAGTCCTGTCTGATTGGGGATGCAAAATTTATACTATTTGGTGTTAGGAAAGTGCATGCTTGTAATCGTTGCTTTGTGTTAGGAAAGTTCCTGCTCAAATCAAAAGTGTCGTGAAGGAAAAGTGTCTTCAAATAAAATTATACCGACTCCAATATACAACTTTTCATGTGCACTTTAAACTCATTGCTCTTCAACCCAGACGACCAACTTAGCATAACTATTTGATTTATTGCTAAGTTGTTCTTTCGCAGAATATACAAGAAATATGTACCCATAGACTTTGAGCGCACAACAATCAATCAACTGTAGTTCAAAATTCGAGCCAATTTGTAGTCCTTTTTTTGAATATGTTGAGAGCGTTTATGTGACTTCAATTTTTTGTATCGACAGAAACATTGTATAGGCCTTGCATCCTCAGATATACATCTTGGTTTTGTTTAATTTTGAACATTTTTCAAAGGAATAATTGTAGCAACATCCGTTTATCGAGTATCAATGACCGACTGATACATTGTTCTTTGATCAGTGTATGCACGATTTGTTGAATCATTTGTGTAAATCCATAGCTCAGACATTGACCTACTGTAAATAGTTATCAAAGGTACCAGGATTATAATTTAATACGCCAGACGCGCATTTCGTCTACATAAGACTCATCAGTGACGCTCAAATCAAAATAGTTATAAAGCCAAATATGTCAAAGTTGAAGAGCATAGAGGACCCAAAATTCCAAAAAATTGTGCCAAATACGGCTAAGGTAATCTATGTCTGGGATAAGAAAATCCCTAGTTTTTCGAGAAAAAAAAATCAAAGTTTTGTACACAGGAAATTTATAAAAATGACCATATAATTGAAATTCATGTCAACACGTAAATTTTGGGTCCTCAATATTGCTCTTCAACTTCGTTCTTGTTGGTTTTTTTTTCTTTTTTTATTCGAGCTGATGAGTTCTTTTGCAGAGGGAACAAGCGTATGGCGTACAGATTTTTAAGCCTAGTATTTATGATGAGTTTATATATCATGTAACATCTGTTGTTGTTAACGAATGAACATTCAATTTTGAATAAGAGCAAGAAAATCTTAATATTCCATTTAAATATGTCTAAACTCAAATATTAGCAATGAACAATGAAATACCAATTTGTTGAAATAGAAAACAGAAAGTAAAGTGATTTTAAACTTCAAACGTTGTAATCGTAATCCAAAGCTGCATTGCACACATAATTAATCATAGAGGGTAAATAAACGAAAAATTAGATAAATCACTTAAGGTAGATAGGGTGTCTTCCTCCATCTTGGATTTTCAAATACCAGAAAACAATCGGTCTAGATCTTTAATAAAAGGTGCAAATTTTGAGAGTAGTAGGTAATTCATGTGTAAGAATTTTCATTTCAATATAGAAAATGACATATTTTATCATATTTATGGTTGTATTTTACCAAAAAACAGAATACTTTTGTTTGATTCTATTTTTTCCAACTTTGCCACATAAGGGGAGGCAACTCAAATGTAAGGGCAGATAATTCAGATAAAGTTACTTTTACAATAGAATGTGTTAGGAATTTACCTATTTTATTATGTAGCAAGAAAACGGGTCCCGTGAACCCATTTTTTCTTTTTCTTATCTGAAAGCATACTATTAGAGATATCTTCTCTTATATTATCTCAAAATTCTATGATGTAGTTTTCGTTTTATGGCAGACAATTGGGTTTTCCATGCATAATCTATACAAAATCTGTCAATTTTGCACAACCTGTAGCGTGAAATAAGCCCCGTGACCCATTCTTTTTATTATTATTTTTTTAAAAGCATGATATAAACTACATTTTGGCAAATTATTAAAAAATTCTATGGATTATAATTTAGACACCCCATCTACCTTAAATTCAGATCTGACTTGTATATTTTACCCTTTACAAGCCTCTAGATGAATTTACCTTGGAGTTCGGTATTTATGTTTAACCTTTATTAGCAGGTTGTGTAAATATTGATTTGTATACGCTTAAGTAGTATTCCTGTACATAATGACTATACAAGTTTTCAATCAGATACCGATGAAATTTAAAGTATAAGATTACATATACATTGTGCATTGATCGTTTCACATAAAGTAGTACGTAAAATTTAATTGTCGACTACACCAATCTTTTACCTAAAGTAATATTGAACTCAACTTACCTGTAAAAGGAGATTCCTTTATTTCAAGTACACATCCAGGTAAAGGATATTACAAAATCCTACTTGTTATTTGTACCAAATGACATCAACGGCAACAATGGGGTAACAACATATGCGTATTTCAACATTTAATGTGTCTTTAGTGATGCACAGGAATAAAGAATAGTTGACCAATCCAAAACCTAATCTCTTTAGAGTTTAAGATTCGCAAATATGTTTTTATATGTAACACTTCTAAACAGTTCATGGCAAACCAAAAATGAAACAGGAAGATCGATTGAGTAAATCGACCACATTTATTCTTCCACAATTCATACTCATTACAGCTTTTACTTTATGAATGTTAAAACAACAAAGAGCATGAGTTATAATTAATTTTTTACAATCAGCATCAGAAAAACAAAACAATGCATGTCAATTATTTATAAACAGATACGAAATGAAAGCGGATATATACATTGCAACTGGGGCTTCATTTTATATGACTAATCATTTTGTATAGAGAAAATGACAAGGAGATAAAAATAGTTTACTATGGTGTATTTGCAATTCTCCATATTAGCATAAGAATAAGTGCAAGCAGATTTCTCTTTTTTTATTTGATAACTACTCGAGGAGTTATATAATAATATGGTTCTCTGATGATTATTAAATAATTTTTCATATTTGATAAACGAAAATCCCCTTCGAGTGCCTTTAAAATTCCTGATTTCTACGTCATACAAATATAAAGTTGCCAATTTCTCTTACACCTGTTAGCATAT